GGATGGGGCCTGGTGGAGCAGCAATTGGGAGGCTGGGGTGGGGCATGTGGTCCTTTCCAGGGGGTGGTAGCCCCTGTGAGGGCCATTTGGCCCTGGTTTGGGGGGGCTGTACCCCTTGCGTGGGGGGATGAATCCCCTGTTGTGGGGCTGGATCCCCTCTTGGGAGCCTGTACCCCTTGTTTGAGGGTTGAACCCCCTGTTGTGGGGGAATACCCCTTGTGTGGGGGCTGAACCCCTTGTTGGGGGAGCTGTACCCTCTGATGGGGGCCCATACCCCTTGTTTGGGGGTTGAACACCCTGTTGGGGGCCCGTATCCCTTGTGAGAGGGTCAAACCCCCTGTTGGGGGAGCCAAAACCCTTGTGTGGGGGCCATCGCCCTGTGGGAGTGCAGCGGAACATGTATCCATAAATTCATGAAACGTATTTAGAGTTCACTTTATTATTATGAGAAAAGGCTTGCTTTAACACTGTAAGTTATATCAATAAAACTTTATCCAACTGATCGCTCTCTCCGTCTCACTCCCTCTCTCTCTCTTTATAGTGATCTTTTGTTTTACTTGTGGAGAAACATGGATTTGGGGGTATTTTACAGAATGACTTTGGGATTTTTTTTATCAGGGATTTTTCAGTTTTCCAATAAGGAACACCAGAATTCCTGCTAGGGAGGCCAGTGGCAAGACCCTGCCTGCTCAGAGCTGGCACCTTACACCCAGCTGGCTGTGGCTGACCTCCAAATGGGGCCAGGAGGACATGCTTTGACAGTTCAAAGCAGGCCACTACACCTAGAACATCTTCCAGGTGATAGCTGCCCAGGTGGCTGGGCAGGGGGCATAAATAGCAGTAGTGTCGTACAAAGGCTAACCCTGCAACCACAGTCCACTGGAAGCTGGCCCAGAGGGGCAGATGCCTCTACTGGCTCTGCAGTCCCCATCCAAGTCTGGCAGATGCACAGCAGGTCACCAGCCAGGCAACAGCCCCCACTGCCAGACTGCTGCAGTGGGTAGAGCGTGCAGGGAACTCTCAGGGCTGCTTCAGCACTCCAGCTGGCACAAGGGGTAGTGTCCACAGGTACCAGTTGGCTGGGCTGCAGAAACTCCTGAGAGCTAGTAGCCCTGAGCTGCTTGCCAAGGCTTTTTATACTGCTGGGGCCAGGACATTTCTATTTGAGCTGCTGCAAGTGCATGTGCTTGCATGTGTGGACACGCACGTACTGTCTGAGATGAAAAAGTGGTAAATATTAAGGAGTGGAGTAGAAGATAAGAGCCATGCTTTGTGGACGGTAATGGGAAAGAGATTACAGTCTTTGGTCCATACACGGGTCATTACAATGGATCCTCATTTTCCCTGATAAGAAGTTGTGAATTCTCTGATAAAAAATTTCAACTTCTCTGATAAAAACCCCAAAATCTATGATTAAAATGAAAGGCACCCCACTCCTCTCCACATCCTCCCCCCCCCAGCCCTACTGGTGCCCCTCACATCCCCACCCACAGCACCTTGGCGCTGCTCATGCCCCTCACTTCCCTTACAGCTACCTGTCCCCTCAGCCCTGCCAGAAGGGGCCCCTAGCTGCAAGGGCTATGGGGCTAGGGACCGAGTTCCGCAGACTATGGCCCCAGCAGGAGGTGACTGCTGCTGCAGTAGAACAGAACCCAGCTCCCTGCCTGCTGCCTTCCTGCTGCAGGTTTGGGGGTGGGGGCAGCTCCCCACCACTACGTGCATTCCCAGGTGAGAGGGGGGACCTCTGCCCCCAAGATGTGTGTGTAGGGTGAGGACAGAGCAGGCTGCCTGCTGTGGGCTCCTGCCCTGCTGCCCTCCCCTGGGGCCTCTGCAGCCCCGTGGGTGTGACCCAGTTCTGCAGAGAACAGTGGGGCCATGCAGGATGCTTGCCACTGTGAGCTCCATGCTGCCATGGTGATGCATCCTCTGCATGCACAGCAGCAGCAAGGGTGGTGATGACAGGTCCCCTCACTGCCGCCGCATGCACAGGGGACCCGTCGCCAGGGCAGCACAGAGCTCACAGTGGCAAGCATGGGTGACTGTTGCCACCTTAGTCAACGGGAGCATGTGGCCCCCTCCACAACCAGTCCCGCTGAGGGAGGGTCCCCCTGTGGCCGATCACACAACGGCTGATTGTGATGCTGCAGCCCCTCTTCCGGGAGCAGCTGAGGCTGGTTCTGGAAGCAGCTGCAGCAATCAGCTGGTGCTTGCAGGGGGGGCACCAGTGCACCTGCCTGCCCCCCCTGCCAATCACCTAAGTGGTGAATGTGGCCAGTCAGGGGGTGCACCAGTGCTCTCAGGGGGTGCATGTGCACCCCTATGCACCCCCTACACATCGCAACTGGCAGAAAGCAGCTTTTCTGCATGGTCCTGCTGTGCCCTGAAGTGCTGGATAGAACCGTCTGGGCTGCGGAGGCCCCGGGGGATGGAAGCAGGGCAGAAGCCCAAGCCCACAGCAGGCAGCCTGCCCCATCCCAGCTCCACGCACAGATCTGGGGGGCACAGTTGACCCCTACCCTCTGGGAGTGTGCACCACAGCAAGGGGCTGGCCAGACTCCCCCACCACCTGGAGAAGCCACCCGTAGCCCCATCCTGCCCCCCGCTGGGGCCCTACAGCCACAGATTGTGGCCTCAGGCCCCAAGCCCCACACACCACCTGGGTGGGCAGCAAAACCAGCCCCAGCCCTGCCCAACTCCCTCCCTCTGTTCACTTCCTCTCCCCCAACTTAGCTGTGGGAGCTGCTCTCCAGGCTGCCTGGCATCCATGTGCCCATGTGGGCACATACATGCACGTGGCACCTCCCGCTTGATCGCCCTCCTCCCACTCCCTCCCAGCCCTTGCAGACTGGAACTCTGCCCGACTGCAGAAAGCTGTTTGCAAAACAGCAAAATACACAGGTTTCTCTTGCAAAAGGGAAAATCCATGTTTTTTTCTTTTTTTCCATCAGAACCAGAAAACTCAGAAAGTGCTACTAGTGTCAATAGTCTTTAGAGTTAATAAACCCCATAGAACACAGCGCACAGGTTTGTTTCTGTCACTGTGTATCTACTGGTGGTGTCATGTGTTTAAAGTAACACTAAGTGCAATTAAAACAAGCAGAAGTACATTCAAGCAGCCTAGCATGTGTTACATGCACTTGTGGCTTTGCAAAAGTTGTTCTCTTTCAGGTAAGAGTTTTCTCTTAATGCATACTGACTTTAAATGATCACTATATTCCAATGACTTCTAACTGTTGCAAGTGAACATGCAAAATGGCCTAACTGGTACTAACTTTAATAGATCACAACAGTCTAGTAATTTGCAACTGTTGCACATGAACACATGATAAGGTTGTATTTTGAGCCCTGACTCTTCCTAGTCCAACCTGTGCATTTCCTGAACCTGTGAAGACTCAGGATGATCTTATACATAGGTGTCTCCCAACACAAGAGCTCATGGTCAGATAGGGGCTTTACTGTTTGGTCACTTAATAAAAAACAGTTCTTTCTTTCTTCATGACAAATCTTATCTTTGAATGATGATTAACATTCTTCTGTAGAGCTCAGGGGCAGCTGAGATGGACATGCTTCTCTTCTACATTTTCTGCACCTTTGTGCATAGAAAATCTTGGGGTCAAATGTATCCATATTGAGTAACCTTAAAAAATATACCATCAATCCATCCTAGTTACGAGTATTCCTGTCTGTCCATTTTCTAGATGTGGGATTTCACTCTGACACCTCCCCCTCCCCTAAGAGCAATGAAAACATATTGAAAGAGAGTCAGGTATAAATACCAGGAGCATCCCAACATCCTTAACTTTGCCACCTTACTATAACAGAGTTTTCATTTTGAATGTTGATGGTAGAGTGGAATCAAAACAAGAATTATAATCAGAAGCGCCTTAAAATCTGAAGTTACAGATTTGTTGCTTCATGTAGTAAATATATATTGTTAAAATGTATCCTGTTCACAGAAACTACAATAAATAAAAATTGTATTTAGCAGAAGCAGCCTTTGACACTGTAAATATTAAAACTAAATAACTGTTACTTTTTATTTGAAGCTACAGCAGATGTGGTATTCATAAATACATATAACGAAAACTAATATTACATTCAAGTGTTTGGCCTCAGTAATAGTTTCTCTAACAGCACAAAAATCAGAGCAAAATAATAGTTTCATTAGCCAGAACTTTGTAATCTGGGACCTAGAACATCTGGCCCTGGTTTCCAAACCAGTCTGATGCACCTCTGTTAGTGTCTGCATTTAACTGCAGCTAACGTGCTTAACAATGTGCTTTTTTCTTTCATTATCAGGCACCACAAGGCCACATAAGGAGGGGGAGGTCCCTGGTGTGGACTATATTTTCATCACTGTTGAAGATTTTATGGAGTTGGAGAAAAGCGGTGCTCTCCTAGAAAGTGGAACATATGAAGGTAAGTACATTTTTAATGTTAAATCTGCTATATGTTTTCATTATGTTTTCCAGTTTAATCGAATTGCATTAGGACATCCCATTACAAATGTGTCATTGCTACCATTATCTGAAATTAATGAAGAGCCAGATGGCAATTGTGAAAATATTTTTCTATGTAAAAGCTAAATGCAGATGGGTTCATTGTAATTTTAATACATCACGCTGGCTGCAAGAGACACTGAGAGCAAAACTAAAACTAGCATTCATATGAGGCATGCAGCTTGACAGGATAATATGTTGCATTTGTATGAAAGAAATGTTGGTTCATTATGCTAAGTACCTGAGGCAAGTTAGATAAAGTTCAAACAAATAATTGCTTATTTTGCACACTGACAGGACAGAGCCAAGTCTTCAGTGAAAACCATGGTTGCATGCTTTCCCCTTATACAATATTGATGTCCCTGTAAATTGCAGAGTGGATTGGAAGCTGAGAAAGCACTTTTTAAGTAAGGCAGAAAGGCTCTATAATGTCATGTCTGAAGGTTTTTAAAGTTATTTAAAATGATTAATTAACGTTTACATTTGACCAATAGATAGGGACTCGCCATAATTTCTGTAGTAGCAAATGTATTTGTATATAAAGCAGTGTTCCTCAAGAAGAAAAGCTAATTCATCTGATCACAAACCTGTTCCAGAATATAACCATCCCTAAAGTCAAACTATTGTGAATCAAAGGTCAGTTGTATTCTCTGGAACTGTAATGTTGTCAGAAGGTGCATCAAAAAGTAAATACTTGTGTAAACACTGCATTTCTTAGAAGTATACCAAGTTTTAATAACAGAAGTAAAACTAGCTGGCTATAGCTATAGTCTAAATTGTAAGCAAACCTAAAAACATTGTCATTGTTAAAGATGTGGTCACTGTTTGCAAGGACTTCTGCCTGGGAAGATCCATTTGCAGCATATGTAGGGTGTCCAGTTTTCCCTGGTTTCAAAATGAGACACCCTGCTTTCTGGCTGCTCAGCTGTATGTGAGCTCCAGCCTCAGCTGAGTGCACTGGATAGTGAGGGTATTGTGTATGTTGGGAGAAAGGCTGGGATGGAGGGTCCCACAGAAAACAAAGGAAAAGCAATCATATGACCAAACCAGCAGGATGCCTAAGTGTTTAAAACGGGCCTAGCCTGGTGAGACTAAAATGTATGGTCACCCTAAGGAAATGGGCTAATCTTTTGTACCATGTGAAATGAATTGCAATAGACTTCTTGTCCTGATTTTGTCCCTATCAAGAAAAACATCTCAAGATAAATAAGGAGTTGTTCACACCAAAGAAAATCATTAGCAGTGTTATAAATAGCAGGAAGGAAACTAATCCTCTCACCTAATCAGCACAAAGTACCCACTGGAAAGTAAATAAATTTTGATAAAGGGTTCAATCAATACACAAATTGTAGCAAAGAAGAGTCCCCATTAAAGGAGGTCAAATCATTGGGAAAATGTATCTTTTCTTCCTCTCTTCTTTTTCATCAGTCTGACATCTGTAGAGGTAACTTTTGTAAACAGTAACACAAGGGTAATACCACACATTGCATTCATCAGATGCTCATTGGATATTGAGCTATTCTTGCAGGTCTTTTAACGTTACATTAGGCTGTTGAGACTTGTGTTAAAGTTGCATAAGTTTAGCATGGGTCTGTCATTGACAATGTAATTTCACTAGTTTATAGCAAAATTGTAGAGAATGACTTGCTTGTTTAAATTAATTCACAATACTCTTGCTTCCCTGGAGGGGTAGGGAGAAGCTTTTTTAATACAAGCTAGCAGAGGCTGAGTGGACAAGCAAGGTGAAATGTTGTGAATTAGTTGGTTGGGAGCTCTGTGTAACTGCTGAGAATGCAGCTGAATAAGGGCCAAAGCTGTGACCACACGGTATCTCATATACTATTCCTTGACTGTAGAAGTGACAGCAAGCTCATCAAAGTGAACAATTCAAAAAACAAAGGTTTGCTCAGCAGTAGGATGCTGTTGAGACTCACTGGCTATAGTCTTCCCTGCAGTAGTATAACAAAGGAGGGGGCAGAAGTGAGTGGGACACAAGTGCAAGGTGCCAACCCCAGTGGGGAGTGAAAATATAGAAGCATCTGTGCTGCCTGACCAGCCTCTGCTGTGCTGACAGCAGCACAGGCAGTGACTGTCCCATGTGGTACTGCTGCCCAGGGCACTCAGGCATCATGTTATGCCTCTGCTCCTCTGTTCAGTACAGTTTTGTTGGAGTTGACGATTTATTATTTTTTCTATTACAGTAATGGCCAGAGGCTCCAGTTATGCTTCATTGTGCTACATTCTGTACAAGCAAATAATGCAACCTGACCCCTTCCCTATATAACTTAAAATCTGAAAGTTCAATTTTATACAATCTCAAAATGGTACCATAATATCTGCCATTTTCTTCTGAGCCACACATTGCTCTGTTCATTGCAAGTAAAAAGATCTGAATTCCATTTTCACAGCTGAGTGAAGATCCATGTGGCCAAAAGATGTTAAAAATGGCAGCCATTAATTCCTAGATGATGCTAAATTTGGCATTACATGCACAGATCATTGAGACACAAAAACAAATGAAGTATTGTGGATGGGTAAAAAGGCAAACTGTGTGTGCCTATGTGTGTGTGCTCTGCTCTTTACCTTTCAAATGGAAAGGCCTGCCTCAGTACCTTGTCAACACCCTGATCTGTCAAGACCTGTTTAGAGACTATGTTCATGGATCAGTGATTTGATAGACCTTTCCCATCTCCTTGTTATGTCAACACACCATTCTAGTCTGTACAGTAGGTCCACAGACTTAAAATCCTTCTGAAATGCATGTTGTAAAAATGTTTGTATATATAAATAGAAAGGTAACCACATAGCTTTCTTCCATTTCACAAATGTTATATAATTGAAGGTTATTGGTTATAAGACTTCATTATAAAACATAACCATAAAAGGATTTGAGGTACAGTGAATTTAGTCTGTAAACAGCTTTTTTAGAAATGGTATATACAAGAGCGGTCCTAGGAATGACAAACAGTGTCCAGGATATAGTTATTATAGATATTTATTATAGAAATGAAAGTATATTGCTGAGAACCTGAAAAAGCATAAAAAATATCCATTACAAATATATTATGTATAGAAGAAATGACTTTATATAAAAAGGATTTAAGCCTTGTAGAGAAAAAAAATACAAGCATAGGAAGGCTTGTTCATATCTGTGGGAGGAGAACGTGATGGAATGCTTAATAAATCAACTAAGTTAATTTAGCCACACAACTCTGTCTAGCATATTGTATCCAATATTAGCCTCTTTTTTCACCTCCCTAAGAGAGACCATATCCATAAAAGCAATGCCATTATGCATCTAGCCTGCCATAATGTAAAAGAAAAGTCTGCAAGAAGTAATCATTTTAGTGGCTGTGCTACTTGTACCACAGAAATCTGCTTTTTATCATTTGATGGGTTATTCACACATTTATCTCTATGCAGGGTAAAATTTTAATTGCATTCAAGTCAATGGCAAAATCCCATTGATTTAAAAGGGGTCTTTTAGTGTCTACACAAGACACTAACTGTGCAATAGCCTAATAATACTGCACAGTAGCACATCACAGCACAAGGAATGCTAATATGCTACTGTGCACTATAATTAGGCTACTGCACAGCAGGGCCACTAAAAAGGCATGTACATTAATTTACAGCACATTAATTTAGTCCTTGATTATACAAATACTAGACTTAACATGCAGTAACTATGGTTCTTTAATGAACTTTTAGACGTGCTGAAGGGGTCAGGATTTAATTAATTCTATTCTACTGTTTGAGTATTGGTTGGCAGTAGTGTAAGCATTAGTTAGAATGTCTCTTTTAATCCAGAACTCTGGAATAAATTGATGTACTTGAAATAAGAGGGCTGTATATTTACTTTAAGGTAGGCCTTGTGCTTAAATGCTTTAATGAAATCCCAGTTTGCCATTTTTCCCCCTAGAAATGGTTGTAAAATAATGGTTGGCATCTTTGTGTTTGTAACACTATGGAAACATTCTTGTGATTGTACCGTTCTATGTATATGCTTACTGGCAACACTTTTTTAAAGAGGGGCAGCAAGTCCCAATGAACACAGTGCTGTCCTCAGTGCCCAGGAGGTATTATGCCATGCAGAGAGAAAGGGCTAGAACCTACATCTCCTACTTCCCAGCAAAGCTTAGGTATTATCCAGACTTCTCCAGCCTTCCTGCTGAGGCTGCCCTACCACATCTCTCATTTAACAGTCATTGGTCAAAATGGATAGAGAGCAATGGGGAAGTTTCTGCCTCATTGGGAGATGAAGGTCCCAGCTAGAATCCATGGCCCTATCCTATCCAGGGCAGTGTCCATCTTACTGATCCTCACCCCTGCTTTCTTCTTTTCCTCCCTTCCTTCCCTCCCTTGCATGCTGAGCAGGCCAGCTTAGAGGGGAAGGCTGGAGATGGTCTGTATAATTCCTAGCCTGTGGCATGGTGGTTAGGAGAATGCTAGGAAGCAGGAGATACAGGTTCAAATCACTCAGTAAGGAGAGCTTAGGACCTGTGTCTCCTACTCCCTAAGCTATAGGGCTACAACATACAGGGCCCATCTCATCTTCTTCTGCCAGTGTCTAATACCTGCAAGTTATAGGGATTGCGTAGCTGCAATTTCAGGAGTCATCTAGCTCATACATATAATGGCCTGGCCTGAACACAGCCCTGCTCAATGGCTGTGTATATGATTGTGTACTGAGAGCTGAATCATAAACTGTGTGTAAGTTCCCAGTGCTGTGTTACACAGCTGCGTATGTGCCATTTAGGTGTGTAAAGTACAATTGGATTCAGCCCCAAATGCCTTCATGCCCTACCAGTCCCCAGGCATGATTATTCCTCTGCAGAGGTACGAGTCATTTTACTTTTTGCTTCAGCTACCATCTTATTAGTAGCTACATATTTTAACTGCTATCAAGATTTTAAAATT